AGCGAGCCCGTCAACGCCGCCGCGAAATGATGCCGCTGTGAATAGTGCACCACTTCCCACGTCTACTTCACCACCCCCGCAACCACAGTCAGAGGAGGAAGAGGTCGTAAACATGCCCAGTGTCTCTTCATATCCCCAGCTCCCCTCAACAGGGACGCCCTCGCCGACGGAGGAGTTTGTGCTCCCTGCTGCGATCGGCGGCTCGCGCAAGGAAACCGCTTACATGCGACTGAACAATAAAGTGCGACAGATTGAAGCAAATGTTTCGGTTAGCATGAGGTCAGTTTACTGAGAATTTCAGATTTGTTCCCCAAAGTGTAGGTCATACTTTCTAACTTCTCTCATTCGACTAGTTCGTTAGCATTTTCTGACATTTGTTTCCTTGTAACCCCTTAAATATGAGGTCTTTTCGGGTCTGTATTTCTTTTTTCTACGCAATTAACTGTCTGCTTTGCTAGCACATTGAAGTAATTAATGAAACCTCAACTAGAATTCGCAAATTCGATCCCGGTTTGGAAAGATTACTTAATTGGCACTGTAGGATAGCTTATCATGTGGCGTATTTCAGTCACGCCAGAATGCGAATCTTTCTGGTCACCTGTCGGAAATAACAACATAAGTAGTTGATATTTTTGCTATTTCATAGCTCTCAACAAAAATTGGACATAGAGAGCTTACACAGAAATCCTCCTTTTGTTTATTCATTTCGCGTCTAACTTGATGATTCCTATAACTTGTCTACTCGAAGAATAGATATCTTTCAGTATCTAAAAGTTCACTTACTGGATTTTTTGATCCCGAACTGTCGTTGCATTGGTGCTTCAGGTTTCCAAGCCCCCGTGATTTACACTCTTAATTTAAAGAAAATCATACCATGCTCAATGCCATTAGAAGGGTGGCATATCGCCTTCGCAGCCTGTCACTAGGAATGAAGACAACTTTGTAGACTTTAAAAGAAGCAGTAATAAACAGATAGATGCGATTCCAGTTGAATAATCACTCCGAAGTCTTTGGAAAAGACTACCATAAACATTTTAGAAGTATCAGATAACATAACTTCGAGTAGAAAATTTGAAGGAGATTTACTATAGTACGATATGCGACTACGTGTTTTTTGTATAAGCCTCTTCTGTAGTAGTTTGGCATCGAAACTCAGTGGCAAAAATTAAAATTATTTAATTATTATTTTTAGCCAACTTGATTTTTAAAGGTTTTCAGAGGGATACGCATAGAAAAGTCGGCATCCCGACATGACTGAAATACCCTACGATTATGTTGCATGATTTCGTAACTTCAGTGAATTTTTCATGAGATACTTTTTATTGCCTTCATATTCGCCCTTCGTATAGTCTGGCCGAATCAAACCACCATCTGCGTAAATAATCGTGATTTAAAAAGCTTGCATCGCTTTCCACTACCCCTTCCCCATTCGGAACCTTGGTAATTTTGATACTGGAAGTTATCTGTGCGAGCATTTCAGATTTCCAATTTTCACGCTATTTGAGTGTGCTGTACGGTCCTTCAGTCCAACAGGCCCACGGACTGAATCAAATTGTTGGATTGTGTCTCAAGGCACAACAAGACGAGTTTTTCACATAGAGTGATCGGCAAAACCCCATGTAACATTGTGTATATACCTGATCGCAAAGAGCTCGCAGCTCAATGATTTGGGGTTTTGACTTATAACCAACAGGAGATGGCGGGTTATCCAGGAAAGGAGGATTACCCTCCTGCTGCTGGCTACCTGGCGCGTCCACGGGTGGCGGATAGTGGC